AGAAACAGAACCAAGGAAAAACAAGTCTTTGGTATATGATAGCAGTCATATTTGAAGCCAGTAGAAAATGGACAAATTGTGTAGGAAAATTAGATAATTATTTGGAAAAAAGTTAAATTTCTAGTTTGTATCAAATTACATTTCCATTGAGCTAAAGGATTAAATATAGAAAATAAAAACATAAAAGTGCTAGTAGAAAATCTACATGAACATACATATAGAAGTCTGGGCTACATAGTGAAACCTCATCTCTACTAAATAGATGAATAGACAGGTAGGTAAGTATACAGGTAGGTAGGTAGATAAATAGATAGGGTTGCTTGAGCCCAGGAAGACAAAACTGCAGTGAGCCGTGATTGTGCCACTGCCCCCCAGTCTGGGCAACAGGTTAAGACTCTGACTCAAAAAAACAAAAACAAGCCGGGCTCGGTGGCTCAGTCTGTAATCCCACGCTTTGGGAGGCTGAGGTGAGTGGATTGCCTGAGTCCGCGGGTTTGAGACCCGCCTGGGCAACTTGACGGGACCTCATCTCTACAGTAAATCAAAAAATTATCTAGGCGTGGTAGTGCACACCTGTAGTTCCAGCTACTTGGAAGGCTGAGGCAGAAGGATCACTGGAGTCCAGCAGGGCCAGGCTGCGGTGGCCGGGAGCATGCCACTGCACTCCAGTCTGGGTGACAGAGTGAGACTCAAACTCAAAACAAAAACAACAACAACAAAAAAATACATGTTTAATCATAAGGGAGGAAAGATATTTCTTAAAGCAGATATTAAAAAGGGAAAGAATGATTAATTTTACTGTTGATGCATTTAAAAACCACAGAATTAAAAGTAAGTCTGGGAAAATATTAAAATGCCACAAGAAAGACTAATATCCCTAATTCATAGTTTCACTAATTAATTTAAAAGAGAGAATCTGGAGTAAGGTCGAAGGATGTGATACCAGTAGCCATTTAACAAAAAAGGAACTACAAATTGCTAATTAATGTGTAAAAATATTTATCCTCCCCAGTCACCAAAATATATAATACGCATATGATTCTGTTGAAAGTGAGAGTGGATCATGGTTTCCTAGATCACTCCAACAGAACTGGAGTTTAGAGACAGTATCTCAGGGGAGAGTGGGTGTGACATCAGTGACTGCTCTTTCTAGCACAGCACGTATGTCTTGAATGGGACCTGTGTTTTTCCTCAGAAAACTGCTTTTTGTTTACTTCTCTTATGGAAAATTTCAAACTCACTCAAAAGTAGAGAGAATAGTGTAATGAATCGTCATATATCATTACCAGATACCTGCGAGCAGTTTCATTTTAGCTACACACCACTGTTTCCCAGGGTTGTAGGTGAGCTCCAGTTTACCTAAATTTTAGATACTTGAAATTTAACAGTAATTAAACAGATATATAAAGTAAAATAATAGTCTTCCCCACTCACTCTCTCAAAAAAATTTTCATGATTGTTAGCTACTAAAAATTTATTTTTTATCCGTCCATATTTTTATATTTCTTATGCATAGAAATGCAAACATGCACATATTCAGCTTTAGCATCATTATTATTTTATAATTTGTTTTTGCCTCAGTAATATTTTGGGTTTATTGTTCCCAGAGAGTGTGTTTAGATTGATCTCATTCTTTCTAAGGCTGCAGTGTATAGCAAACATTATAACAATACAATGTTTAATAATATAAATAGCCTATAATTTATTCAGCAATTTCCCCATTATACTCATGCATGTTGTTTAAAAGCTTTGCAATTGCAAACAATGCTGAAATATGTATCCTCATGCATAAAGAATCAATATTAAAAGAAGTGATGAGACAACTTTTAAATTAAAGTTGTTTCTGTGGCTTCCATGTCACACAGTGTGGATATCGTTCAACAGGATGTGATATTTCCTTGAACGAATGTTGAGCAGTTGCTTAGGTGCTGGTGCAGAGTCCACCCATGGATTCTTCTTGATATTAAGCAGTGCTAAAAGCAGGTTTGGAAGCAGCATGTAAAGTATGATCCCATTTTGGGTTAGCTAATGTCCTGTTCATGTCCCAAGGACAAGGAACATGGCAGTCTGTGTGTCTTCCCTGTGCCCTGTACCCAGCAAATATTCAGGGAATGAAAGCCATTGGGAAGAGAGAACAGAATATTACATGGTTTTAATAACCCATGAAGGGGATTATGAATGGTCTTTCAGGGGTTTGTTTCTTTTTGTTTATCTGCCTTGGAATATTTTTCTACAGCTTCGTATGCATACTTGCATAATATTTTAAAGTAAAACTCAACAAAGAAACAAAAAGCAAATGTGAGATGGAAAGCAACTGGTATAGAGGACATGCTAGCCCAAAGAGCTGGTGCTAAAATGCTCGTCTGGCTGTGCTCGGGCATGTTGTTTGGATGTAGGCATGCCCCGACCTCTGAGCCTCCACCACTCTGTCATAGGGATGCCTGTCCCCAGGTATTGAGGATAACGATGTTGTATTTGAGGATAAAAATAAACTAGAAGTAGACAGGTTTGAGAGTGGAAAGAAACCGCAGCGTCCGTGTGCCTAATCCTCTTGCTTAATTTGAGTTGCCAGATTTGGACCTGAGACCCTTTGAATTCTGTGTGTAATTCCTGACCCTCTTAGACATGCTTTAAGAAGGGAACACCATTGTGTGGATGGATGTTTCCTGAAATATTAACTGTAGTAGACTTAGGGCTTCTTTGGATCATGTAATATTCATTTTGGAACAAATAAGTAGACCATTGCTTTGTTAAACTCTGGTGTGGCCACGTGGCTCTTTGTGCTATTGCTGTCATGTTTTCTTAGCTTTGGCCCCTTCCCCTATCTTGGGGAGGTGACTCCTCTCTCTCTCTTGAATTTACTTTTTAAATAAGCTATATTTTCCAATCTAACGTCTGTGCAATTATTTGCATCTTGTGCGCAGCACCAAATCACACCCCTCAGCAGGTGTGACCTAACAGTTTAGAGGCCCCACTGGGAGACTAAAAACAAAAAAAAGAAACAAATAAACAGTATCTATTTTATACAAATGTTAAAGTTATACATAGATCTAAGTTTAAAATACACCAGTTTTAGTATTCCTTGTTCCCATATTGGTTTTGGGGGTTATTTTTGATTGAGGGTCTCACTTTGTTGCCCAGGCTGGATCATGGCTGACTGCACCCTCCACCTCGTGGACTCAAGCAGCCCTCCCCCACCTCAGTCTCCCAAGTAGCTGGGACTACAGGCGGACACCACCATTCCCAGCTAATTTTTAAATTTTTTTGTAGAGATGAAGTCCCACTATGTTGCCCAAGGTGGTCTTAACCCTTATTGTTTTTGTTAAACTTCACTATCCCAGAGGAATTGAAGTAACTTGGGCCCCTTGTGTTTCAACCTTGAACTGGTACTGGCAGAGACCATGATGGACCGCAGTTCACCAAAGCGTCAGAGCAAGCAGGGAGACCTGCAGGGCAGCACATGCCTGCTCTCTAGCCAGGTTGCCATCCACACCTCATTAGCTCTGTGACAGTGGTGCCCCACTTGACTGGCTGTCGATGGAGCTGATAATTCCATCTGAGCGATTGGAACTGTGCCCAGGAACAATTAAGCTTAACTTTGACTAAGAACCCACCCTTCCTGCCAACCCTACTTCAGGCTGTAAGTGAAAGAGCGAGTACACGTGGAGGCCTGGACACGTGGTAGTGTACCTTTTTTTTTTTCTTTTTTTCTTTTTTGAGTTGTAGTCTCCCTCCATCACCCAGGCTAGAGTGCAGTGGCACACTCACGACTACCCCAGCGTTGACCTGCTGGGTTCCTGCAGTTCTTTCACCTCAGCCTTCCAAGCAGCCAGAACTACAGGTGCATGCTACCATGCCCGGCTAATTTTTTATTTATTGTAGAGATGATGTCTTGCCAAGTTGCCCAGGCTGGTCTTAAACCCGTGGGCTCAGGCAATTCACTCGCCTCAGCTTCCCAAGGTACTGGGATTACAGGCTGAGCCACCGAGCCCTGCCGTGGTGTACCTTTATTGTTGCTTTCAGTGATGAGTAAATTCTCCCAGGGGGCTGGGCAGCGACCCCACACCTGCCACCAGATGGACGAGGAAGGTTCAGGTCCTGCCGAGGGAGATCACTGCCGTCTCTGCCTCCTGTAACGCTCAGTAAAGCCCTGCCAGGACTGTGAGGCTCAGGGGAGAGAGCTAGCCCAGCATCCCTGTCAGTTCAGCATCTCTGCCCTGTGACCTGTGTGGTAGTTAAGCACTCACCTCAGGCTGTAGAGCTCGACCCCAGCCCCACCACCCTGTAGACTCTAGCTGTGTGGTCTTGGACCCTGGCTTTGTCTCTCTATAAAAGGGAGTCAACCACAGAAGCAACCCGCTAGGCTAAGATGATGTACAGGAAGACATTAGCGCAATGTCTGGCACACAGAAACTGCTTGGGGTGTTATTAATCCTGGACCCTACTATATACGGTTTTCTTAAATAGTGAGTTTTACTTTTTGCTCTTTTAAAAGTCTTCATTCTCATTGTAAGCAAATCAGAAAATACAGAAAGGTGGAAAAGCCAGTCACAAATCCTGTAACCACCTGAAGCCAGTCCTTGTGAGCGTGTTGGCCTCCTCTACTGGTTGCGTGCACTCACAGGAGTTTGCTCTGAAGTGAATTGCTAGTTGTAATTTTATTGTGTGTTATGTTGGATTTGGTACCTTTTCCCCTTACATAGTGTGAGATTTTCCCATTATCATGCATGTTCTTCAGGTTTTCTACTTAGGAAAAGTTAGCCAAAGACATTTACATAGTAGTTTCATTTCAGTATCAAGAAATGCTAGGTAGATTCCTTGTCACATCTTCCCCAAGATGGTGGTTCCAAAAGATAGAAGTTCCCAAATAGTTGTAAAGATTTGCAGCTTTCTAGGAACATGAATTGAACACATGTAGTCAGTTTTGTCATTGATTGAATGTTATTTTATAACACAGACATAACAGCATTTAATCTAGCTTATTCTCTTTCTCTCCTCAGGACAATTTTCCTAGTATTACTGTTTTCTCAATATGCCAGAAATGTTAAATTTCCTCTCCCGATTTATAAATCCAAGAAAGGGTGGACTGCATACAAGTTACAGCTTTTCAAGATGTTCCCTGTGAGTAGCAGACTTCTCCACCTACCTCCAACATTGCCTTTGGTTCATATGTAAAATATTTTTGAGAAGGAAGGGTTTTAAGCAGGGCCTGCTGAGGGAACCGCATCTGTGTAGTGACATTGGGCATTTGGGCATACAAATGCCCAAATTGTCATGTACTTAAAATTTAGAAGCGGTGGAAGGTTCTGATTTGAAATGGGAGGGTATCTTTTTAGCAGTGCCGAAGAAAAAGGACATTGTCCTTGAGATTGAGTGAGTTTTGACTCCACGTGGCTTCTGCAGGCACAGTGTCCATCCTTATTTTGCTAACCAGATGTTGGAAGGGTGAATTCACCTGCATTAAACTGCTCTCTCAGTGCGATTCCATTTGAGGAGTAGATCCTCTAACTACTGACAGTGGTGGGTTCTGAGGTGTGGTGTTCAGATGGGGGAAGGGGCGTGTTTTGCCAAAAACCACGAGCCCTGCTGGCCTGACAGAACCTCCCCTTGTCCACTGCAGATCATCCTGGCCATCCTGGTATCCTGGCTTCTCTGCTTCATCTTCACGGTGACAGACGTCTTTCCCCCTGACAGCACAAAGTATGGCTTCTACGCTCGTACGGATGCCAGGCAGGGTGTACTTCTGGTGGCCCCATGGTTTAAGGTTCCATACCCGTGTAAGTATTCTGGTAGCCAGAGGGATCAGGAGCCTGGGAGGGTCCAATTGAGAGGGTTTGGAAGTTGGCAGAATAGCCTTCTTTGTCCCAGGATGTCTCCTAAAGGTCTCACCATTCTGGTCATAAGAGGATTACACAGCAGAAAAGGGGGGCCCTGTCTCCAAGAGAGCAATAATCTGCACACGGATACTGGCCTGCTCCCTTCTCAGATTAACCAGTAGGTTATATTGGCAACACTAGGCTGCAGTCTTGGACAAGGCATCTCTTGCCAGGTTGGGGTTCTTGTGGCCAGGATTTGAGGGCAGCTGCTTGCTCTTTTGGTCATTGGCACCTTTTTTTTTTTAAGACATGAAGAAAATAGAGAGGCTTGGGACCAGAGCTGCCAAAAGGTTTAATGGGAGGGGCCTGAAGATTAGCAGCAAACCACTCAAGCATGATGGAATGTATATAATCTCTTAATGGGTAACTGTAATTGGTTCAATTTGCTCATAGCTGTAGAGGAAATTTGATAGTACAAATGGCCGGAAGCTGGATCTTAATTTGAGTGTTAGTTACCTCTTGGGGGAAAGAAAATATGATTTCCAGCTGAGGTATCACCCAGATGCTTGGGTAGAACTTTCTAGACCCCATCCCAAAAGTGACTTATATGAACCTCATGGTGATGGTTATATGCTTGGTTGTTTATTGTAGAGGCCATTCCTAGCATTGGGGTTTTTATTAGAATTGGGGCCTGAACTAGCTCAGTCAGATTTAGCTAATTTATTCACAGGTTTAGCCATTGTATTTTCATATTTTGTAATGATAAAGAGAAAAAGCAAGAGGAGACAAGAATTATAAGCTTTGAGAGTGTTAAATGATGGCAATGCTAACCATTGTTCTTTTTGTTCTTGATACATTTATAAAAGCTTTAAAAAGTATCTTCTTTCTAAAATAACATTTTTATCAGATCCTTTGGCCCAAGTGTGAATTTAAATTTACATGTTCTTTTTCTAAAAGAGAATGTGTATGGTATATTAACATAACTATGATCTGAGATAAAATGAAATTAAAAATCCGACTGGGTGTAGTGGCTTACTTCTGTAACCCCAGTACTTTGGGAGGCTGAGATAGGAGGATCATTTGAAGCCAGAAGTCTGAGACCACCCTGGGCAGCATAGTGAGACCCATCAATAAAAACTTACTTAGTGAGACAGGGTGCAGCAGATTAGAGCAAGGCCCCAGTGTGCATGCATGGTGCCCCTCTTCCTGTGCAGGTGGCTCCCAAGGTGAATGCCAGTAGGAACACAGGTTGGACTGTCTAGGAGAAGCAGATGTTCGTGTGTTGAAGCAGATGTTTGCATGTTGATGCCAGAGGTATTTCCCACAGGGGCTTCTTGCGGCCCATGAGAAGGTGTAACATCGTAGACAGATACCCAGTCATGAGTGTGTAAGGCTCCTCACTAAATGAAAAGCCACTCCAGAGGCATAGTCCTAGGTGCTCTCCAGTGATTTGGCATAATCTGGAGACAGGCTTTCAAATACTTAGAGCAGTGGTTTTGTTTTTAGTATGCTAATAATTACCTGAATTAATTGTTGATATACAGATTTCTGATCCAAAATGTCAACAATGCTGAGGTTGAGAAATTTGGCTGTAAAGTACCAAAATAAACAAGAGACATGGCGTGGTAGCTCATGCCTAGAATCCTCATACTTTGGGAGGCTGAGGCAGGAGGATCACTTGAGCCCAGGAGTTTGAGACCAGCCTGGGCAACGTAACGAGACCTCGTCTCTATAAAAAGTAAAAAAATATAGCTGGGTATGGTGGCGTGTACCTGTAGTCCTAGCTACGCAGGAGGCCAAGGCAGAAGGACTGCCTGAGCCCAGGGGGTCAAGGCTGTGGTGAGCCATGATCATGCCACTGCATTCCAGCTTGGGTGACAGGGTAAGACTTTGGCCCTCAAAAAATAAATAAATAAAATAAACAAAAGCTTCCAGGTAAAAGGAGACATGAAATAACAGATTTACAATAGAGGACTGGAAGCCAACAAGATTTTAAAAATAAATGTATAAAGGGAAAAAAGATCAAAATAAAAATTCTCCTTCAAAATCAAGATACTAAAGTGAAACTACAATGCTACAACAGTCACAAGGTAACAGTATAAAAGATATTTTAGAAATAAGCAAACTGGCCAGGCAGATTGGCTCACACCTGTAATCCTTGCATTTTGGGAGGCCAAGGCAAGAGGATTGCTTGAGACTAGCCTAGGCAACATAACGAGATCTTATCTCTACAAAGTATCACAAAATTAGCCTGGCATGATGGCTCGTGCTTGAATCCCAGCTACTGGGGAGGCTGAAGCAGAAGGATCGCCTGAGTCCTGGAGGTCGAGGCGGCAATGAGCCGTGATCATGCCACTGCTCTCCTGGGCAACAGAGTGAGACCCCAGCTCAAAAAAAGAAAAAGAAAACTGCTGCTTGGTCAAGAAGCCCTGTAATGGGGGAAATCCATTCCGAGCATGGAGATGAGATGCTGGCCACACGTGTTGCTGGTGGGCAAAGAGCGTACCCTGTGACTGGGCCTGTGTACTTGCACCTCTGACCAGGGGTGGCCTCTGTGGCCTCTAGAATGAACCACAGGCAGGCTCCAACATACTTCAGGCCTGTTCTGCACATCTTACTTTAGGTCATCTTTCTCTTCTCAAACCCGTGGTTGCTCCCTGTTACCTGACACAAAGGCCAAGCCCCTCCAGGTGGCTTAGGCTGTTTATGGATCCTTTTCCAAACTTGCCTCCCACCCACCTACCTGTAGGAGCACTCCACTTCCTGCCCCTCAACGCCCTCTCCTTTCATCTCCCCCTCTCCCGACCCACCCACCCTCTGGGGACACCTCCATTCCCGCCTCCTCCTCAGACCCGCCCCTGATCGGGGCTGACTTTGCCCTTTCCTGACTTCCTCAGTGGGCTCTTTGTGACTCAGCATGGCTTGACTTCTTTTGAAGTCGAACCGTTTCACTCCCTCCATATCTGTTGGAGCATCCTGTTCCCTGGGCTGCATTGTTGGCTCCCACATGAGAAGCCATGTTTCATCCATCGTTCTTTCCCATTGTGCTTTAGACATAGTGGGTGTGTTATAACTCCTGCTTCCCAGGAAGAAGGGCTGGCTACTTGATCAAAGTCTATTTCTTCTAACACTGACCTAACTAACCTTGCTATTTTTATTAAGTAAGATGTATGGCTTCCAATTCCAAATAGACAGACTTAAAGAAAAAATAATCTCATGAAGGATTAAGTAAATGCAGATATTCAAAACGAAACCACAATGGGACCTCTCTTTGCTTTCTTAAATACAACTATTTAGTTTCCCATAACATGGCTTATGATTTACTTTAAAAATAAGCTTCCAGCATTATCATAGAGAAGGGTTGTCCATATCTTGTGATGCTTTCTGGGAATTTACACTTAGCTGGTGATTTTCCACTGATTTTTCATTTGATGCCATCTCCTGGGCAAGATCGCCATTATTTTGTACCACTCTCTTTACAGCAGATTGTACCAATTCCTCTCATACAAATTCCTGTCCCAATACAGCAGGCCATGTTGTTACTCAGTAGTTACTGAGCATGACCCTGAAGCAAGAAGAGAAGCATCAGCCAGATGATTTCTTCTTTTCAGTTAAGATGCAGAGCAGATCGCTTCTTGTGATGGCTCCCATCTGACTCAGTGACTATTCCCAGGCATCTGGTGCATTGATGATTAGTTTAAAAATAAGCAGTTTGTACAGGCTTCAAAATCCGAGTGGGTCTTGTAGAGTCCTTCTATGTTCAGAATGACTCGTAGTAACTGGTCCTGGTAACCTTTGCCCACCCCTCTAGGAGTGTTCACAGTTGTTTTCCCTCCGCAGTTCAGTGGGGACTGCCCACCGTGTCTGCAGCTGGTGTCATCGGTATGCTCAGCGCAGTCGTGGCCAGCATCATCGAGTCTATCGGCGACTACTACGCCTGTGCACGGCTGTCCTGTGCCCCGCCACCTCCCATCCATGCAATAAACAGGTATGTTCCCGAGAAGATGAGTTCTTCATTGGCCCAGCACCTTGTTCCTTTGATCTGAGGCTTGGACTACATTTGAGACCAACAAAGAACTTAACATAGCAAAGCAGCAGGGCTCTTGAGGGACTGTTTGCCTTTGGACACATCACTGCCATTGTTCACTCGTCCATCACACAGAACAGAATTCCTACCCTTCCTTACTATTTGTAGTGACAATCAAATAAGACACCTTCTGCAAGAACACTTTAAACCTTAAACTCACCAAAACAAACACCAGGCACTGCCCTGGTTCTTCACCTGGTTTTGTGTCATTTACGGAGGACGCCACAAAAATGTATACACATTGAAAGGAAGGAAGCAACTATATTTAAATTGTAATATTTAATATATCCCAATAACAAAGGATGAATACAAGTCATGTTTGACTTCTGTTATTACAAGCGGTGCTCAAAGTGGTTGCCATCAGCATTCAGACACTTATGATATGGCAAACTAAAAGTAATACATAGATAACATTGTTTAAAATGTGTACACACACACACACAGAGAGATCTGTATGTATGTATATGTCTACTTTGATTTTCTGTTCTCTTATTTTCCCAACTATTCTTTTTTTTCCATGTAAACTCAGATTTTAGATTATTTGGAGTAAAATTCTTTATTTGTAAACAGGTTTTTTTTCTTTCTTTCATTTCATAAGAGCTAAAGTTTTGCTGTGTGTTGCCCAGGCTGTAGTGCAGTAGCTATTCAGGGCAATCATAGCTTACTGCGGCCTTGAACTCCTGGGCTAAAGGTATCTTGCTGCTTCAGCTTCCTGTGTAGCTGGGAGGAGAGGCGTGTGCTACTGCATCCAGTTATTCAGGGTTATTTCTGAGTTGCAAAAATGACCTATTTTCCCTTGACTTCCCCCATTTAATCTTGGCTGCCACCAGAAAGCACAGGGATACTGTCTTCTTGCATCTGTAGTGGAAACCTTAGCAGACAGTGACTGTTCCCAGTTTGTCGAATGGGTGCATTCCAATGGTTCCTAAGTGTAGGTGCTGTTTATAGTTAAACTCTTCTAAATAAATAGGGAAGGGCAAGCAGGAATGAATAGAGTCTAGAGGGTCTAGAGGCCGATGAGCTGTGGGGTTTATTTTCTCAAAACATTTTGTCTTTATCTTCTGGAAGTAGCTAGGGAACTGACCCTCGGGATGCTGCAAAGAAGGAAAATAGCCAGCCTGGTGCGGTGGTTCACACCTGTAATCCCAGCAACTTTGGGAGGCCGAGACAGGAGGATTGCTTGAGCCCAGGAGTTCAAGACCAGGCTAGGCTAGGCAACATAGTGACAACTTGTCTCTCCAAAATAAAAAAAAATTGGCCAGGCGTGGTGGTGCACACCTGTAGTTCTAGCCACTTGGAAAGCTGAGGTGGAAGGATTGCCTGATCCCAGAATGTCAAGGCTAAGCAAAAAACATCGACTCAAAGAAAAGAAAATAGCCCAGATCACCCCGTTCTCCAGCCAACTGCTTCCCCTTCAAAAGTGCTTGTGTGTGATGAGCTCAATGGGTTGGTTTTTGGCATATCTTGCCTTGGGTCTGTTAGTGGTTTTCAGACCTGATTTTGACATCTCCCTCTAACTGAGCTGCTGCACGTGATTAGATACCAACATGTCTAGATGTTTAAAAGTTAATCAGTGTTTATAGAATTACAAAACATATCTTTGCTGATGAAACTGGATTTTAATAGTAATGGATCGGATACATGTTTTAGTGGACAGCCCGTGTTTGTCTTATAGCCCAACAAATGGCTATATCTTCTGGCTGAAATCCTTTGTTTTCATTTTGATTTAAAACACCTGTGTCTAATGTGTGATGTAGAGGGATGCTCCCCAAAATGGAATGAGCATGGGGAATTCTGTTGAAATGCAGGTTCTGCTTCAGCATTCAGATTCTGCATTCTAACCCCCCTCTCCCTCCCCCTCCCCGGGGGTCGATGACACTGCAGGTCCGTGGACCATACCATTTGGGTTGCATGTGTTTAGAGGCTAGTTCAGCATGAGTGCCTTACCCATTGAATGAATGTTTTTCTCTCCTCTTTTCCTTCACATTTTAGGGGAATTTTCGTGGAGGGCCTCTCCTGTGTTCTCGATGGCATATTTGGTACTGGGAATGGCTCTACTTCATCCAGTCCTAACATTGGAGTTTTGGGAATTACGAAGGTACAAATATTTTTCTAACTAAATAGTTGGACCTCTATATGTTCATCTGTTTTATTGATTAGTCTGACCACTGCGTGTTTCAACAGGGGGCGCCCTCCCTCTTCTCACCCATCTCCTTTTTTTTCCTCACCCATCTCCTTTTTTTTCCCTTTGAGTTTTGAGAACACCTGTTTGGAGGCCTACCCTCCCTTGTCTGGCCTGGTAGGGAGGGACTCGGGTGCTTATCATTTCTTCATGCAGTCTGTAGATACTTACTAAGCAGCAGCTCTGTGCCAGGATACTGTTCTAGGGACTTGGAGTGCATCAGTGAATAAAAAAGTGGAGTTTACATTCTAGCAAGGGCAGACTGTTAACAGTAAGTATACCAAGTCAGTAAGTGATACAGCATGTCAGCCAGTGATAAGTACTAAGGGGAAACTTGGGGCCAGGTGGTGGTGGGAAGAGAACAATTATGTGCTAAATAGGATGGTCAGGTAACTTTGAACAAGGTTCTGCAGGGTAGAAGGGATGAATCCTGCAGGTCACCTGGGGAAGAGCATTCCAGGCCAGGATGTAGCCGGTGCAGAGCTGGATCCTGGGAGTGGCAAGTCAGCAGAGGCCCGGAGGCAGGAGCAAGACAGCAGGTGACAGCAGGTGAGGTCTGCCTGGTACCCAAGGACCAGGTCACATCAGTCCTGCAGATAGCCACAGACTCTGAGTGGAAGGGTGCCACAGGGGGCAGCTTGATCTGATTTTTTTTAAAAATTAAAGGATCACTTTGACTGCTGTGATGACAATAGGCCATGCGGTATGGGGGAGGAGATAGAAAGGGGAGACCAACCAAGAGGTGTCCCTGGTTTTGGATGAGAGATGATACCACTCCAGAAAAAAAAGCCAGACTTACGTTAAAGAATTCACACAGTTTTCCAACCTTAGCAGCAAGATCGTTCTCTTTCAAATAAAATCTGATATGGAGCCACATCAGGCCACAGTGGGTCACTAAGGTGGAAGCAGGGTAGAGACCCAGAGCCCTACCCACTGGCCTCCCCTCCCATCCTCCCATCCCCCCACCCCCCACATGCAGGCACATAATTCTGGGGCCTCCTTGCCCCAAAATTCACCTTCCATAAGAAGGAGCCTGCTCCCAGGCTTTCAACTTTATTACTTTATGTTCCATTTTATAATTCTATAAACTTTATTGTCCCTGACTTAGGCCAAAGAGTAACTGCTTCCCCTAGGGCACTAAGGTAGGAGGCAGCTTCACCCACCACCTGCCCTGTGTGTTGTGCAACTGGAGACTGTTATAACTGGTTCACATCCTCCATGGCCTGTGTGAGTCACAGGTCTCCCTCACCTGAGAACTTGGGGGTGAGCCCAGAAGCCTTCTAGAACTGTTTGGCCTCTGTAAAATTGGGAGCGAGCGGGTGGATTTCCAAAGAACCCCCATGCCATGTAAGATTCTATAACCAGATAAAAAGAAACCAAACACCAAATAATTAAGTTTGATTTATCTTGCTTGCAAATCCAGTTGAGAGGGAGTGGCACATGCCCGCACGCGCATGCCTGCCACTGTTTGTTGCTTCCCTGTATTGGCAGGGCCATGCCAGGCCTCAGCTTCACATGTGCATATGGCCCCATCTACCTGTTGCTTTTGGCAAGGGGCATGCGAGGGAAGACCATCTGAGGGCGCTTCCTCTAGAAACATCCCTGGTCCCCCTCACTGCCCATGGTAAGAAACAGGTGCTGGGCATAGGGAGATAGCTCCAGCCATGCCACTTTCTAGCCAGTGTGCTGCTGTGAGCCTGTAGGCATGTGACTAATCCTGAGTAAGACTGTCAGCCTTCTGTATTCACGATTTCTGTAGCAGATATTTTGTAGAATATTTTTTATCTGAAGTTGGTATAAACCATGGATGGTTCCACATCCATGGTTTATACCAACTTCAGATAAAAAATATTCTTAAAAAAATTATTTCTACTGAACACTTACAGACTCTTTTTTCCTTGTCATTATCTTGTAAACAATACTGTATGGCAACTGTTTACAGAGCAGTTACATTGTATTAAGTATCATAAGTAGCAGAGATGATTTAACATACAGGAGAGGATGGATGTAGGTTGTATGCAAATACTGTACCAGTTTATATCAGGGACTTGAGCAGCTGAGAATGTTGGTGTCTGAGAGAGGGGCTGGTGGTCCTGGAACCCATCCAAGGACACTTGGGAACTAGAGTAGTGAAATTGTTGTAGGTGAAGGGACTCTTAGGGAAAAACCATTTAGCAAGCTTTCCTTCTGCACCCCTTTAAAACATATCATCCTGTAACATGACAAGGTTGTTTGGGGAATAGTCATCTTACCTTGACAGCCTTTTTTTTTGAGTTGGCATCTCACTCTGTTGCCCAGACTGGAGTGCAGCGGCCTGCTCTCCGCCACTGCAGCCTCAACCTGCTGGTCTCCGGCGATCCTTCCGCCTCAGCCTTCCAAGTAGCTGGACCTACAGGCGTGCGCTACCACGCCCAGCCAATTATTTATTTATTTATTGTAGAGACGAGGTCTAGCCAAGTTGCCCAGGTGGGTCTTGAACCCACGGGTTCAGGCAGTCCATTCGCCTCAGCCTCTCAAAATGCTGGGATTACAGGTTAAGCCACCAAGCCTGGCGGCAGCCTTTTTTAATGAGCTAGTTGATATTTCCTTTGAACCCACCACTGGCGCCCCTCCCTTGAGACACAGCAGCATCCAGTCAGGGACTGTGGCAGCCCTGGAATTGGATTTGCATTAACCTGAATCATGAGACCTGATTCCACAAGATAAATGATATAATCAAGGCCATCCACACAGCTGTCTTGGACTGGGGAAGTATAGCTTGTAGCAGCTATTTCTCTGTGGCCTGAGCCATGCAACTGATGGGGAGACCTCCGCCTGGGAGAAGGGAGGTCTGGGTTCTGGGCTGTGTCCTGCCCTTCATCAGTCAAAGCACTCAGGACAAGTCTTTTGTCTGAGTAGAACTCAGCCCTGAAATCCTGTGGTTCCAGACCTAGGTCTGTGCTGTCCAATACAGTAGTCAGTAGCCACAGGTGGCTGTTTCAGTTTGAGTCTGTTTTTTGCTTGTTTGTTTTGTGTTTTTATGTGTGTGTGTGTGTTGTTGCTGCTTTTGTTTTTTTGTGTTTTTTTGGTCAGGGATCTCACTATGTTACCTGGGCTGGAGTACGGTGGCATAATCATGGCTCACCACAGCCTCAATCTCCTGGGCTCAGGTGATCCTTCCGCCTCAGCCTCCCAAGTAGCTGGGACTACAAGTATGCCCAGCTAATTTTTTTTGTAGAGACGGGGTCTCACTACGTTGCCAAGACTGGTCTTGAACTCCTGGGCTCAAGCAGTCCTCCCACCTCAGCCTCCCAAATTGCTAAGATTATAAGTGTGAGCCAGTGTGTCCCAGTGGCAGTAGCCACATTTCAAGGACCGAGCAGTCACATGTGACTTAATGACTGCCAATGGGCAGCACAGACAAATAACATTTCCATTATTGTAAAAAGTTCTATTGCGAAGCACTGGTCTGGGCCACTGTACCAAACTTCCAGGGCACATAGAACGAGGATTTATACCAATTTTTTTTTTTTTTTTTTTTTTTTGAGTTGGAGTCTCACTCTGTCACCCAGACTAGAGCGCAATGGCTGCTCCCGGCCACCGCAGCCTCGACCCGGTGGGCTCCGGCGATCCTTCCTCCTCAGCCTTCTGAGTAGCCAGAATTACAGGTGCGCGCTATCACACCCAGCTAATTTTTTGATTTATTGTAGAGATGAGGTCTCGCTTGCCCAGGCGGGTCTTGAACCCGCGGGCTCAGGCAATCCACTCACCTCAGCCTCCCAAAGGCGCGGGATTACAGGCTGAGCCACCAAGCCCAGCTTCATTTTTTGATTTATTGTGGAGATGAGGTCTCACCAAGTTGCCTAGGCAGGTCTTGAACCCGCGGGCTCAGGCAATCCACTCACCTCAGCCTCCCAAAGTGCTGGGATTACAGGCTGAGCCACCGAACCCAGTTTATACCAATTTTTTAAAAGATTGAGGTGTATCTCTTCCAGAGAATCTACCTCCCTTTCCTGGTGCTTCTAACATTTGCTATCCTTTCTTCAGTAATTGCATTCTCTGTACATGGAATTTCTGACCTAATTGATCAAGAGAAGTGGTTACCTACCCCGCAGTGTGTTCTGAAGTTCTAAGGAGATGGATTTCATGTGTGAGACTTCTCTGCTGAGTGTGTTCCAACATCTGTCCTGTAGTGAGGGGCAGCATGACATGGGGGAAAGGTGACTGCTTTGGATTTCAGCCCGGGCTCCGTCACTTTGTTGCAGTGTGACAAGTTCAACTGCCTCTGAACTCACAGAACAAGGGTCTCTGTGCCCTTTTTCTATAAAGTAAGCTTGCAAGCTATTGTAGCAAAGGCCTGTAGCAGACCTGGCCTGTAGCAGGTACACAGTAAACTATGGGTGTCATCACTGTAGCTGTTTAGTCATTCGTTTATTTCTAGGGACAGAATAAGTACCGTCTCCCTGGCTTTGGTGGTGTCCAGCGAGGTGGTTTCTCTTTGCTGCATTCCACATCACTGTTGAAGACTTTGGATCACCAGAAATTCGGCATCTATTTTTCGAAGTCCTAGAGGCAGAGCCACAGTTCAGGCAGGAGGTGCAGAGGGGATTCTAGGGAATGTGCCCCAGGAGAGGAGACACAAAGGGCCTGAGTTGCTAAGCACCAGGAGGGCAGGGATTTTAGGGCTGTGTCTCTGGTGGTTAAAGCAAAAGCATATAAAAGGCACTCCGTTGGTATTTGTTGAACAGAAGGTAGATTGGTCTTGTAGGCCTGGTTTTAATGTAAGATTTAGTCTCAGCATCCCTGGAGCCAGCCTGGCCCCTCCCACCTCCTATCTCACAGATCTACCTGACCCTGCTGAGAATCTTTGCATAGATTGTTCCGTCTGCCTGGATACTCTTCCTCCATGAATTCTTACCCCTCAAGGTCAGCCCTTCCCAATTCTCCATATTTTCTCTTCTCTGATGCTGGGCTCCCACACAGTGGAACAGTATAACAGTGCAATTACTAGGTCACAAGCTTATAGAGACATACTTATCTCTATATTCACCGATACCACTCTAACATTAAGTGGTAATCACCTAACTTCCAGGGCATATAGACAAAATGTTTGGTGAAAATGGAACCATTTATAAATGAAAACCTTCCTTACCATGTGGTAGCAGCCAAGCACAAAGGCTTAAGTGACCTTCTCCATAGCTCCCCTGCCATCTGTGGGGTAGAGCAGTCCAACTAGGCAGTGACAGTCCAACTGGACGGCTAACTCTTATGTACACAGTAGAAGATCAGGCTCTGAAGCCTCACCAACTGACCCTGGGTCCTATGAGAGTTCTGGGCAGCAGTCAGCACATCCCACACATGTGTTGTTTCACATGGCCACACTATCCACATGTGGCTAGTGAGCACTTGACATGTGGTCAGTGCATGTGAGGAAGTGCATTTAACATTTCCTCTCATTTCATTTCATTTTATGTATGTATGCATGCATGTATTTATGTGAGTAAGAGGTCTTACTCTATCTCCTGGGGTTGGGAGACAGAGTCCTTCAACCTCACTTCCCGAGTACCTGGGACTGCAGGTATGTGCCGCCACACCTGGCTAATATTTTTTTTAAACACTTTTTGTAGAGGCGAGGTCCCACTATGTTACCTAGGCTGGTCTTGAACCCCTGGGCTCAAGCAATCCTCCCGCCTCAGCCTCTCAAAGTGCTGGGATTACAGGCATGGGCTACCACACCTGGCCTTCATTTTACTTAATTTAAGTTGAAGTAGCTATTTTCTCACCATAGATCATATGTAAAGCCCTGTGGACAGTTCCCCAAATATTTCTAGAACCTCCTTTATCCAGTTTACATCCTCAGGGTGTTTTCCTGGAAGACGCAGCACAGAGTCTGGGCCAGCAGTGCAGACTTCTTGAGCCAGATGCCAGCTCCACCTCCCACTGTCTGGGTGATAGCAGGCTGGACAGGAGCTGCTGGGTGCCAGAGATTGGGTGTAACAGAGGGGATGAGGCCATATGAGTGTTGTCCTACATCGGGCTACAGATAACCCAGAGCTGGGGACAAGTCCGGGTATCCAGGAAGGCTTTTCAGAGGAGGTAGCATTTGGACAGTGTTTCAAAGGATGTGTCTGGGATCTGGCTGGGAGGGGGCCACCAGGAAGGATATTCACGTAGGTAGGCCCAGGCAGACCTGGTATGCCTTTGGGCAGGCGTGAGCCCCCAGCCTGGCCAGGGCTGGGATGCAGGAGGGACAGGTGGCGAGCCTGGCTTTGGTGGGAAGAGCATAAAAAGTGGTGTTATTTCGTGAATACCAGAGGATTAAAGCAGGGGGCTGACCTTCTCAAATCCGAGTATTAGAAAGGTTGCCCTGTGGCAGCAGAGATGAGGGGCGCCAGGAAGGCCAGAGGCAGCAGGCCCAGGCGAGAGACTTTCAGATTCCTCAGTGCTTGCCAGCTACCCCCAAACTATTTTATGCATGTCCCATTTAATCCTCAAAACGACTTGACAGTGATGGAGATAAGGCTTCTGAGACCTCAAGAGGCTAAGTGTCTTGCATAGTCACAGAGGCAGGGCGAGGAGTCAATCCAGCAGCTGGGCTCCAAGTCCTCACCCTTTGGCCCTGGTGCTGTGCCACCTCTCACGGGCAGGATGCCATGAGGAGGGGAGGTTCCTGAGCTGTTCGGGGGTTTAGTCTGATTTAGAGTTTGGGGAAGATGGAGCTGAGGCTGATGGGCTTTGGGGAGGGTCCTGTTGGTGAGTCATGGTGCCAGAAGCCCAGGGAGAGGCAGGGCGAAGCGTAACCTTTGCAATTGGGACACAGCAGGTTGTCCCTGCTGTTGACCCTGTGAGGGCATTGAAGGGCTGGTACTTGGGCACAGGGGGCATCCCCCAGGGCATGGAGAAGCAAAGGGTGATCTCAGGGCCACCCGCAGTTAAGGTGAGGAAGCAGGAGAGTCAGCTGAGGAGGGGTAGGGAAAGACCATGGGAATCATGACTCTAGTGTCTTCATAGTATCTGTAGTGAGTATGTAATAAGGTCTACCCCGTAAGGGAACGTTTAGAGTACTCCAAGTTTTGCCTGAAGACTCCGTCACATTTGCTCACATTGCTCCAGGCCCTGGGTCAGCAGGTGAGCCCCCCATCTCTCTGTGTCCCCAGGTTGGCAGCCGCCGGGTGATCCAGTGTGGGGCAGCCCTCATGCTGGCCCTAGGCATGGTCGGAAAGTTCAGCGCCCTCTTCGCTTCTGTCCCAGACCCTGTGCTCGGAGCCCTCTTCTGCACGCTTTTCGGTAAAACTCCCCTCCTCTTTGACTCCTTTCTTTCACGTTGGTTCCTTTTTAACAGGATCATGGTGTGTTTTTGATGACTACCTTCAGTAAGAAGGTGACAATACATTTCTGTTTTAAAAAACAAAAGGATATGCTTTCAAAAAATAAAAACTTATATCACTCTGAGTTGAATTTTTGTGTTAAAGATAGAGCCAACAATAAAAATAGTTAGGCTACAAAAGTGTGTATCACATTTAGTCTCCTAAGAATTTCCAACTGATTTAACTCAAATACCTCCCCCTCTGAATGGGCCATTTAAAACAGACTGTTTTTAATGGGTTTGATCTCTGTGCCATTCATTTGTAGTCATCAGAGACACGCACCAGATAATTTGGGTGGGTTTCCCAATTTAATCGAAATGTTTACATAGAGAAGGAACACTTGTCCTTAGTTTGCTATGTGATCTAAAGAAAACGTGCAGTGTTTGTGCGCCTGTCTGTACCCAGACAGTGCTTAGATGGAGGGTTATTTGGATCAGTGGCCAGGGTGGCCACATTCTGAGTCCATCCTTCCCCTTCCTGTCACTGCACTGGACTTGTTTGTTTTTGCTAGGCAGAGAAAGGGCTATGGAGCTTGCCTTCAACATCCATGCTGTACTTTGGCGTTTTTCTCTCCAGGAATGATCACAGCTGTTGGCCTCTCCAACCTGCAATTCATTGACTTAAATTCTTCCCGGAACCTTTTTGTGCTTGGATTTTCCATCTTCTTTGGGCTCGTCCTTCCAAGTTACCTCAGACAGAATCCTCTGGTCACAGGTAAGAAAAGAGGCCTTGCATCTTGTGGGGGAGCTGGAACCACAGCTGCCAGGTCACAGGCAGCTTTTTACCATGCATGGATAGGGTCTAAGAACTTCAGGGATTGTTTTGGTGAAAGTTCCTTCACGTATCTCTTTAGAATCTCATTTGGCAGCAGTTGGCATGTCCACATAACTGATTGGGATGCTGAGGTCTATTTTTAACTGGGATCCTCTCCTTTGGGACTCTGTCTTTAGATAGAAACCTTTAGATTTCTCAGACTGATGCTACATTATGATATATAATTTCTTGAAATTCAACCTTTGAAACACACGTTTTTCTACTGGGATTATAGCTACTTTCAATTCACGATTACACTTTAATTTGTATTTATTTATTTATTTGAGTTGGAGTCTCACTGTCGCCCAGGCTGGATGGAGTGCAGTGGCACACTCATGGCCACCCTGGCATCAACCTGCTGGACTCCAGCGATCCTTCTGCCTCAGCCTTCCAAGTAGCCAGAACTACAGGCGTGCGCTACCACACCTGGCTAATTTTTTTGATTTATTGTAGAGATGAGGTTTCACCAAGTTGCCCAGGCTGTTCTTGAACCTGTAGGCTCAGGCAATCCCCTTACCTTGACCTCCTAAAATGCTGGGAATACAGGCTTGAGCCACTGCACCTGGCCCTGGATGACTGTTACCTAAAACACAGCACAAACTTCTTGTACTCAGGAGCACTAGACATCACTTCATCACAACACTTGGTGGCCATTTTATTTTTTTAGAGGGAGTCTTGCTCTGTTGCCCAGGCTGGAGTGCAGTGGCGTGTTAATAGCTCACTGCAACCTCAAACTCCTGGGTTTAAGCAGTCCTCCCACCTTAGTTTTCAGGCACCTGGGACTACAGGCATGAGTCATCAACTCCTGGCCACTGTTAGGAACTTTGCTTATGGAAATACCTTTGGATTATTCTTGAAAATAGTCATAGTAGTTTAAACATTATTGGCAAAAGTTAATCTACACTGCATCATTGAGAAATTTATACTTTCCTGCACTACACTGAACTGACAGAGTCCTGCCTACAACATTGCTCCTTCCTTGTTCTGTCTGACTTAAGTGCAGGCCAGTCGTGACTATGCCAGTGACCCTGATGGCTTGTTGTGTTTCCAGGGATAACTGGAATTGATCAAGTGTTGAACGTCCTTCTCACAACTGCCATGTTTGTAGGAGGCTGTGTGGCTTTTATTTTGGATAACACAATCCCAGGTATGTGATACGTTTCAACATGCTTTTTTACATATATGAGTTACTTTTTTGCCAAATGGAAATGGGAAACAAGAAGAGTAAGTCAGTTCAAAGCCATCATATGTTAAAACTGTCTTTGATGATGTTGAAGAGATTAAGATAACCCTCCCAGTCTCCACGTATGAAGTTTTTTGTTTTTGTTTTTTTTGCTAAAAACGGATTGATTTTTGGTTTTCCTGCTGAGTGACTGTTAGGAGACAGCAGGTGAGCTCCCTGAGTGTGGTAGGTGGCAGTGGGATGGACTTCTTCCTCCATAGGCAGCCTGTTGCCGGGGCCTGCAGTGCGGTTGCATCAGCTTGTTCGCACACTCCTCTGAGCCAGCTGGGCATGGCCTGTGGCACTTCTTCTACCTGGGAAGCCTTTCCTTTAAAAGACTCGTTCCTAAGTTCCAAAGACCAAAGACAATGAAGGACAGTGGGCACGGGCCGAGATCAGTAGGACCAGGACCAGTGTTGAGAGACATCTGGAGGCAGCTGTGTGCCCAGCACCTGTGATCCCGTTTCTGGTACATTGTTTGCCAAGCACTGGTGACTGGTTAGAATGTGACGTGGGTCCTGCTCTGGAGGCAGCTGCTGTGGACACGCTGGTAGATTTCTCGGCCTTCAAGGAAAGGTGATGCTTATTCTTGGGCTTGAAGGTTTTATTGAGTTTCCCCTTAAAACAACCCACCTCCAAAAAGCCTCAATCCAGAGGTTGCTGGGGAAACCAGGGATGGGCACACCAGGCAGAAGGAATCACGCATGAATAGGTGGAAAGGGCTAGATCTAAGAGGGTCAGTCACCAACACCCTCTTCCTCTCCTAAGCCAGAACGAATTGCATGAGGGGCACAGGAGTCAGGTCAGTGGAAATTAAAGTCAGCTTTGTTACCAACGCTATCACTGACAGGAAGGCACAGTTTAGACGTAAAAAAAATCACAGGCTTCCCAAATACTGTACCCTAGGCTCCGGTTTACCCCCCAGGCTTGGGCCAAAAACCATTTTGTGAAGTATCCCATGCTCCTCTGTACTGGGAAGATTTGGGAAAAGAAGTCCAGGAGTTGCTGAGCCCTGCGTGCTCAGATCTTTTTCCATGACTCATTGGTCGGGGTACCGAATAGCCAGGGTGTTACACCCGGGGGTTCTTCCCCACAGGAGCTTGACAGGTACACTGTGTGTGCAACCCCACGGCCACTTCCCCAGACACACGGAAACGGAGCACAAAGAATAAAATTGCATAGATGGGACGAATGTGCAGTGACCAGTTGATGAGGGCATTGTATGGTATAATAAAGACTCCAAATCCCATTTTACAAGCTTGGATTTGCAGTTTAGAGAATATCTTTTTGCATAGCATCTGAGGGCAGATTTGAGGGAGAAGGTGGTGAGCTGAAAGACTGAATAACCATTGAGACCAATAGATTCACCCTGGAAGGCAATAACAGGACCTGGGCCAGACCACAACAGTGAAAACAGAGAATATAGGTCATGTGGAAGGACAGAGCAGCTAAAGCTACCAGGAGATTCCCTGAATGAGGGCCAGGGAGGGTCTAGGGGTTCTTAGGCTTCTGGTTTGGGCACCTAGATAGCTGAGCACCTTCAGCCTGTCAGGTCTCATCCGGCAGGTCTAAGCTAGGGGACAGCTTATCTATATGGAACAACAGTCTCATTCTTGGTAGAACTGTCCAACTAAGCATTCTTTATTTTGTTTTGGGGTGTGTGTGACAGGTACTCCAGAGGAAAGAGGAATCAGAAAATGGAAGAAGGGTGTGGGCAAAGGAAACAAGTCACTCGATGGCATGGAATCCTACAATTTGCCATTTGGCATGAACATTATTAAAAAATACAGATGCTTCAGCTACCTACCCATCAGCCCTACCTTTGTGGGCTACACATGGAAAGGCCTCAGGAAGAGCGACAATGGCCGGAATTCAGACGAGGACTCCCAGGCCACGGTATAGCCCTCACTGCACCCTGTGGCCTGGCCGCAGTGAGGCATGTATCTGTAGTTCCTTGCTGGGTAACAAGAAGTAAAATATATGTTTGTATATCTACATTTACATTCTGCACCCCAGAGCTAAGACAGATTGCAAATAGCTTTTCTGTTGTGAGTGGTGATTATGTCTAATATGGTGTCTCGCCTTTCTCCTTATTTAAGCCCTTGACCCTTTGCTCTTTGAGAGCATTCATTGCTGGCCAGAGTTACTGAACTTGAAATTCAAGTCCTCCTGTGGGAGTGGGTGTTTGAACCAGCGATTCCTTGCTTTCAGTCCCCTCCCACCACCCAGGACTGACTTTCCTACGAGCCATGTCCAGGAAGCCCCTGGACCTGATTCTTTCCTTTCTTTCTTTCTTTTTTTGAGTCAGCATCTCACTCTGTTGCCCAGGCTGGAGTGCAATGGCACACTCACGGCCACCGCAGCCTTGACATGCTGGGCTCAGGCAATTTTTCCGTCTCAGCCTTCCAAGTAGCTGGACTAATTTTTTAAAGTTTATTTATTGTAGAGATGAGGTCTCGCCAGGTTGCCCAGGCTGGTCTCAAACCCCTGGGCTCAGGCAATCCTCTTGACTCTGCCTCCCATAGTGCTGGGATTACAGGTGTGAGCCACTGCACCTGGCAACCTGCTTCCTTTTTATTTGACCTGGGTCTATGCCTGTGAGACCTTTTGACTAAGGGGCACCGTTACCCTCACATGTCACTGACTGACCCAGTGTGAGTCCTGCTGGAGGCAGCAGTTAACTGATTGAGAACAGTGGTGCAACTACCCTGTCCAGGTCTGGGCCTGGGTAAGGTCTGTCTGGTTTTATTACTAAATGAAAAGCTACTTGGGGCATTGGAGAGAAAGGGACAGGAGCCTGAAGTCAATATCTGACTTATGGCTGCTCTTTCTTCCTTCCTCCCTGGCTCTGGCTGAGCCAGCATGTTTCACACTGGCCCCTTTTCATTGCGACCGAGACACCCTATCTGGCATTTACCACTCCTGGCTGGTGTGATGGGTCGAGAGTGCCGCCCTAGAGCACCAGGCAGACACATTTATAGAGTCTTGGCTCTGCTGTCATGTGGATGTTATTGTCGTGCGCGTCTACAGTTACAAGATTTTATTCCTATTTAATGTTATTGACACTATAGCAGATTTTTGAAGTCAGTGTTTTTCCATGTGACCCTCTTCCCTTGCATCCCTGATACTCGTCCTCCAACCTACCCTCCCCCATCAAGAAAAGAACCAGCATTCGTACAGCTGTGGACACCATCAGGGAAGCTTGTTGTAATGGCTTTTGAAGGCCAGTAACCATTGTGGTTGTGTTTTGTATTGCTTGATACCATGAAAGTGTAAATACTATAATGCCTAATCTATTTATCAAAACTGACTACTGGACCAGAGCCCAGTAACCGTGGGGCCAGTTACACGTGAATTTGTTTTGTGAAGAAGGGAAGCTGGGGCAGGTAACAGAGCCGCCTTGTGGAATGGCCAACATCCTGATGCCTTCATCACTTCGGTGCTTCTGTTGCAAGTCACTCTGGCTGTCATGGCTGAAGGAGACGTCCTGTGGGCTGCCGTGGTGCAAACCCATTAGATCTAGATTTTGCAGAGGGCAAGGCTGGAGCCTTCAGCCACATACTGTCTTTCTTGTTGAAGTGGCTGCAGAGGGTGGTAAGAAAAGCAGCCTGTAGGCTCCCTCTGTTGAGAGAGTTCTAATCCATAACACTAAATTCTTTCTGAAAAACAGCCTCTGTTGAATGTAGTTTGAAATGTTTCAGCCAAAGACAAAAGCCTGAGCTGAGCAGTGTTGGCCTTGCTTTATGAGGCTGTGTGTCTCCTATGGCTGTTGACCTGGCTAAGCGTTGGTTGGCAGCATGGGTGCCCTCTCCTGTCTCCACAGTAGGGTATGGCTCTCCAGCCATGTGTCCGAGGTGCATTTCTGTCCCCTCAACCCAGGCTGGCTCCGTTCTCCAGTGTTGCAGTGCTGTCCTTGGAACATTGTTGTGTCTCTGCCGCCCCCTTCACTCTTGGAGGTTTGGGACTTCAAGGTTTATTCTGGCAAGAACACCTTAGAGCCACTGCATTATTTTGCCAAAATACTGCAGATTAAGTAAAGAACATGGATGCTAAATTCCATTTAATTTTGTATGTTTTTGACAATGTGCATTTGAGCACTTGTGAGAGGCTGGCAGCCCTCCTGCACCGAGTTGCCCTTACTTCCTCCCGTTTGTATTTCTCTTGACATCACCAACCTCTCTGCTCTGAAAAATGGGGCAAACTGCTAGACATACCAGAGATTTGCAGTATTCTAGCTTTCTAGGTGAGTAGAAGGACCAAATAACCTAATAAAAGCCTGAGAGCTGTCAGTAATTCAGATCCATGTTCTCTCCCTCCCAACTGAATAGCACTCTCAGGGTGTGTGCTTTAGACGCTCAGAAACCCACACTCTTCTGAAGCCCCTCCTTGGGCTGGGTTGTGTTGGGAGGCTTCAACTCTGCTGGTCACTAGACACCCCACCGAGTCTGGTACTTTCTGCACAGCCTCGAGTGGAGTCCCATAATAACTAATGCATGGTGCACGGGCACACACACACATGCACAAACCTAAAATAGGAAGTGGTCCTTCTGCTAGAAAATATGCTACAAAATGAACATTTGTAATTGATAGGATACATTCATGTGCTTCTTGGGTTTAAGCACACACCTGAAGGGGCAGTATTAGGGGGCACAGCAGCCATATGTGGGCCGCGTAGTAATACTTTTCATTCACATTGTTAGCCTGTATTTCTAGGGCCGCTGACTGTCATGCTTTGTTTTGCCATAGAATGTTCTAAAATATTTGGTTGTAAACGTCCTAAGCAGGCCATTTAGTCTCCAGTTCCCACAGTGACCACCTACCCACCACCTTCACAGGTCACCTGAGAGAAAACATTTGTGTTGGTGATCCCAATGTGGAATGTAGAAAAATGTTAATAAGGACAGGAAGTGATGCCCTGTTTTCATTGGGGGTGGGAGAACCCCCACCGCTGGTTCATAGAATAATAGGAAATGACTCCGGTATTAGTAAATGATTTTCATTCTCATTAGGAAGTTAAACGTAGACTCACTGCTACATTTACTTTCAGAATCTTTCTTAAGAGGATTTCAAGTGTTAACTTCTAGTTGGTTTCTCAGGATGGATCAAGGCAAAAGAAGTGGCTTCACTATGCCAGCCGGAACGAAGCATCACGGGTCCTGATGGTTTCCCATTTTCATGGTAACAAATTCACACACAGGTTTTGCTTTATACTGTAGAATACTGACTTTCATGATGACAACTTGATTTATGCATGAATATTGCAGTATTTCCATATAGTAAAATAACATTTCTACCCAGGATAATAGTCGCAGTTTTCCAGGGAGGGAATGATATAATTTTCATGACAATGTCATGTGATGATAGAATTTCTCCATTGATGAATCTCTAGTATGTGTGTATACTTTATTTACCCATACATATATTTTATGACCATAAGCTAAGTTGTTATTTCTTTCATTCATGTCCCTGCTGAAATATTGGTACTAGTAACTTACAGTTAAAGTTGGCAGGTCTGATCTTCAGTGATATCGGTGCCGTCAGAGTGGCCAGACAGGAGGTAAATACATAGCGGCAACAGAAGCCTCATTCCAGAACTCGTCTGGCCAGAGGAGAGGCGGCTGTGCTTGGGGTGTACACTTGCTGCAGGCATCAGCCCAGCACGACTGTCGCCGGACGCCAGCTGTGCACACCTTGCCATACCTGCTGCCCACCGCGTCCGTGCTGGCTCCTGGGCCTGAGCATTCACAGAGCTCGCTTCTCCAGGGGGCTGCCCCTTGGCTTTAGAAAGTTGGCCAGGGATCCACCCTGTCCCCTTTCGATTTGACACAGAGAATAGGACATCTCCCACCCCTCCTGCAGTCAGAACCCAAGTAGTGAAGAAGGCCGCCCAGTGTTACCGGCATTCAGCTTCTGCCCACGGACCCGTAAAGCACGTGAGCGCTGGGGATCCCTTTCAGCAGCCTCGCGAACATTCCCGTCCTCTCCGGTTGTTGTTGACTGTGCCTCATTGTCACTGTACCATCCCGCATCCTTAGCATTGCTGTGCGTGTTTCCAGGCACTTAGGACACCCCTGCACGCATTGCCACCTTTCTGACAGTTTCAATGAATATCCTTTTCTGTTCGTAACAACCTTCGTTTGACACATTAACAAATTTCTGACTGTTCTTAAAACAGTGGGGATGCCTATATTTTCCTTGAGTTTTGTGACTGACTTTGGCTATATACCTTTCTGGGATTTTGTTTGTTTTTATTTTTATTTTGCATACCGAGGGTATTTGGGGTGGGGTTGTTTTTTGAGATGTGTAATTCTTTTATGGAGTTTTTAAAAAGAATTTTCATATTGTTTTTCTAACATGGCTTCATTAAACGTTTAAGTATTTTAAAATATGTAATATTTGGACCAGATGTTGTGAATAATAGTAGAGATAAAGCTATTTTATTCTGTATTTTTAAAACTGTTCCGTACAAATAAAAGCTCTCCTGGACACAGTTTTGCTGTCCATGTGCCTCCTTCTTGAACTGGTCTTTAAGAAAGCTGTTCAGTCATCCCTCAGTATCTGTGGGGATTGATGCCTTTGGATACCAAAGTCTGATGTGATCAAGTCCGTGATACAAAATGGCTTAATATTTGGATGTAACCTATGCACGTCCTCCCGTATGCTTTAAATAACCTCTAGATTACTAACAATACCAAATACAATGTGAATGCTATGACAACACTTGTTATATTGTACCTGCTATTTACATTATTTTTTTATTGTACAGTTACTTTTTATTTATTTATATTTATTTGTATTTATTTTAAAATATTTTTTATCCTGGGTTGGTTGAATCTGAAGATGTAGAAGCCTTGGCTACAGAAGGCCAACTCATTAATTAAAAGTCATCAACCATAGGAATTCAGTTCAACAAGATCACAGGCATTTTCATTGTCACATACCTGGAAGACTGAACAATGAAAGGTGGAGCAAAAGTGCAATCAGTCCTCCCTCCTGAGAACC